CCAGTGCTAGAGGAACGACCCCAATTGAGCTGGGGGTTCTCAGAACTGTTCTCTACCTGCGAATCCCCGATGGGACCATCAGAGCGCTGTTGCATGGTTCTGTGTCCCACTCAACCGCAAGACCGCCCCACCCTCTTCTTCCCGGGATGGCCGCCATATGCATTTATGGAATGGAAATGGATCTGGTGGATCTGCTGGTGAATTGCTTTGGGTGGCGGAAAATTGGTTAGGTCCGCCAGCAAGTGACCTCTGTCTACCACTTTATCCATCCTGGCAACCTTTTATTTCCGTTATCCTAACTGAGTCCCCTGCGGTCAAGGCGGCATCTCAGGATGATGGGGAGGAGAGGGATTCAGAAGGGGGTCGGAGCTCATGGATGAAACCCGCTAGCTGGTGACCCCGGGTGGATCCAGACCCGACTTTCAATTCTGGGCTCATTTTACTAGAGAGGCTTCTGAATCTACTCATAAGAAAGAAATGATCGGCGTTCGGGGGGATGGATGGACTTGGGGTCCTGGGGTTGATCGCCACCGAATACATACGTGCATCAGACGAGCGTGTTGTATCTCATAAACCTTCACAAGCGCGAGGTGCCAATCAAAAACATGCAATAAGTAATCATGGAAAAAACCCGCAAAACGGCATACATGACTTGTTTCCTTGCTCGCTTATCTTTCGAGGGAGGGAATTGAGGGCAATTGAGTTTGCTTTTTTTTTTTTTATGGAAGTGGAAGATACTTTAAAGGGGGAGAGGACCAAAGGGGTCATAAGAAGATGGAGAGAATCTGTAAAGCCTGGCTCCGCCGTTACCCATGGGTGGCAGTAGGGATGCTCGGATTCGGGTTCAGACAGAGCCGTGGTGGAGCGAGACGCTGCCCAGATGAGGGAGATTTGGCCCCCTGGATTTACCAGCCAAAGAATGAATTCCCTGGTATCAGAGGACTGTCATGGAGAAGTCTTTGGATCTCGTCATGGGTCGCTGGTTCAGGTACAGCATGACGTCCTCTGTTACAACCTCATGCTTGCCGTGGTGCGGACGTTAGGAGAGGTGTCTTGTTTTGGTCCTGGGGACTTAACCCAGGGGCACTTTGACACCGAGTTACGTCCCCAGCCTTTTAATCTTGCTATTTTGAGACAGGGTCTTATTAAGTTGCTGAGGCTGGTCTCCATCTTGGTGAGCCTCCTGCCTCAGCCTCCTGAGTTGCTGGGAGGCTGTTCTAGACAGAGGCTTGCTCTGTTGCTATGGGTGTTGCTGATCGCACTTGGAATTCCTTTTTTTTTTTTTCTTCTCATGGATATGGGGATGAAGTCTGGTTTTACCAGAGGCAGCATGAGTTAAATAATGGATCGCAATGGAAAATGGTCTCTCAAGGGTGATTCTCGGGGTGGGATGACGGTGTCTTCCATGGAAGAACCGTTTGGTGGACTCATCACCTGTGGAGACCAGTCTCCTACAAACCCGTTCACAAGGTGGACCTCTCTCCTCGCTCTTTGTCAACCGGTGTGTGAGGAAGCAGTTACGATTCTGTTGGGACTTTCAACTCCAAGCTCAGTTCTCGTGGCCCCCCAGCTCAGGCGGCAAAAGATTTTACATGAAAGACGGGTGTTTCAATCGGCTTTTTCATTAATGTGACCAAAAGACCTCACAAGGACAATGTAGAGGAGGAAAAGTTGATCTGGGGCTCACGGTTTCCAAGATTCAGACCACGGTTGGTCGACTCCATGGCTCTGGTCCAAGGGGAGCAGAACAAGATGGCGGCAGGGCCTGGAGGAGGAGAGCAGCTCAGGACAGGGCACCAGGGAGCAGAGAGAGCTCTGCTCACCAGGGACAGGACAGAGACCCCCAAGGCACAGCCCAGGGACCCCCTCCTCCAGCCACACCCCACCTGCTGCAGTCACCACCCAGTGAGTCCATCCAAGTGGATTAATCCACTTTTTAGTTTTCAGCTCCCATAGTCTGATCATTTCACCTCTGAACATTCCTGCATGGTCTCACACATGAGCTTTTTCATGTCTAAACCATAACAATGTCACAGGGGATGGTAATTCTCACCTGGGGGGCACATGATCCTGGACCCGCACCCTCATCCATCTAAGCATCCTGCAGTGTATAATAGAACATGCTCCCTCCAACCCTGGCTCACCCATCCCCAGACGCCCATCCTGCAGCGGAGAAGAGACCCTGTCCCCTCCCACAGCCTGCAGGACCGTAGCTCATCACCTTGCCGTCCACTTGGTCTTGTGTGTGCATTTTTGCTGAGTCTCAGTAAAACAATCGAGAGTCGATCTTTATTGACTCACAGGAGACCTGCCAAGGAAACTTGCTCGCGGCCTCTCTCTGGAGGGTCGTGAATACTCAACGGGAAGGCAGCGCAAACATGGCTGGGGGGAAAAAATCCACTTCAAAAATGCAAAAGCCGGATGGACCCTGGCTGCAGGGTCTGTTGACAGGCAGCCGGGGCTTCTGGCCTCTGCAGGACCAAAGGACAAGGTCTGCCCCGTCACCTGTGCACCTTGCCGGGGCTCTGCTGGGTGCCCCCTTGCAGCCCCATCCCGTCCTGAAGTCGGCCCTGTTCCCCCTGAGCTGTTGGTGGCCCTGGTTTGCTATGGCGTCTCCTGCTCCCTCCTACTTCTCCGAGGGAGAGACGGAGAGTTGGGAAGCGTTTTCGTTTTAGAAAAGGAGCAACATTGCAGATTTGTCCTGGACTCAACGAGCAAACTCCAAACTCTCCCGACAGAGACATGATGGGGGGTGGTCGGAGGCTCCGTTGGTGTTGGGTTGGCGAGGTCGGCGGGCCTCGGGGATAGTTTTCTGAACGCAGTGTCCAGTTTGGGTCCAGGTTACAAAGGAAAGATCTTGGCCGGCCACTTGGAAACCGCCGAGTTTTGCAAATAAACATGAGAAACACAATGAAGTTCGTTGTTTCTCCTCCT